CAGGCTGGCAGACCAGGCAGTCCCACATTTGCGTGCAGATAAACTGGGAGGAACAGCTGGAGAGCAAGACAGACCATGCAATCCAGGGTTCCAGTGCCGGAAAAGAAAGCCTCAAAACCTCTGGAGGTAAAAACCTGTGGGGGTTGTGGCGGCCAGAGAAACTCCCAGCCTCACATGAGAGTCTGTTGTAGAGACCCCACGGGGACTTAGAACATACACTAACCCACCCACTTGAGAATCAGCACTAGAAGGGCCCAATTTGCTTGTGGGCAGTGGGGGAAGCGACTGAAAGCTGGCGGAGAGTCGAGTAAGTGGCATTGTTCCCTCGTGGAACCCTCACCCATACACAGCATCGCAATGCAGCCAAGTGGATTGCCCCACCCTGGTGAATCTCTAAGGTTCTGCCCCGTCCAACATAACAGCTGTGCTGAGACAAAGAAATATGGCCCAAATGAAAGAACCGATCAAAGCTCCAAAAATAGAACTAAGCGATGAACAGATAGCCAACCTATCAGATGCACAGTTCAAAACACTGGTAATCTGGATGCTCACTGAATTGGTTGAGTGTGGTCACAAAATGGAGAAAAAGTGAAGGCTATGCAAAGTGAAATAAATAAAAATATACAGGGAACCAACAGTAAAGGGAAGGAAGCCAGGACTCAGATCAACGAATGGGAACAGAAGGAAGGGATAAACATTCAACCAGAACAGAATGAAGACACAAGAATTCAAGAAACTGAGGAGAAGCTTAGGAACCTCCGGGACAACATTAAGCATTCCAGCATCTGAATCATAGGGGTGCCAGAAGGAGAAGAGGAAGAGCGAAAAATTGAATACTTACTTGAACAAATAATGAAGGAGAACTTCCCCAGTCTGGCCAAGGAAATAGACATCCAGGAAGTCCAGGAAGCTCAGAGAGTCCCAAAGAAGTTGGACCCAAGGAAACACACACCAGGGCACATCATAATTACATTACCCAAGATTAAAGATAACGAAAGAATCTTAACAGCAGCAAGAGAAAGGGAGACAGTTACCTACAGAGGAGTTCCCATAAGACCATCAGCTGATTTCTCCAAAGGAACCTTGCAGGCAAGAAGGGGCTGGCAAGAAGTATTCAAAGTCATGAAAGGCAAGGACCTACACTCAAGATTACTCTCTCCAGCAAAGCTACCATTTACAATGGAAGGGCAGATGACCCAGAGAATGTAAAGCTGAAGGAGTTCATCATCACCAAGCCATTATTATATGAAATGTTAAAGGGATTTATCTAAGAAAAAGAAGATCAAAAACTATGAACAGTGAAATGACAACAAACTCACAACTGTAACAACTGAACCTTAAAAAAAGAAACAAAACAAACTAAGCAAACAACTAGAACAGGAACAGAATCGCAGAAATGGAGATCACATGGAGGGTTATGAGCAGTGCAGGGGAAGGGGGAGAAAGAGGCAAATAGTACAGGGAATAAGCAGCATAAATAGTAGGCACAAAATAGGCAGGGGGAGATTAAGAATAGTATAGGAAATGGAGAAGCCAAAGAACTTATATGTACGACCCATGGACAGGAACTAAGGAGGGGGAGGGGAATATCGGTGGAAGGGGGGATGCAGGACAGAGGGAAGTAAAGGGGGAAAAAAAATGGGACAACCGTAACAGCACAATCAATGAAATATACTTTAAAAGAAAACCTCTGCTATTCTTCCCACTGCATTCCCAGAGTCCTTTGCAATACCTCTTTTATAACTCTTCTTTTTTAAATTTTATTTTAATTTATTTTTTCAAATACATTTGTCTCTGCCTACCCCCTACCTATAACTCTTCTTGTATTATGTTCAAATTGATCTACCACCTGACTTTCTCAAGGGCTCATGGGTTCCTCAAAGGCAGGCATTCTTCTGTTTGAAGAAAAAAATGTGTGATAAGGAAGTGTTTATTTTCTACTATTGTCTAGTTTGTGTTAATAAACAGCAAGGAAATGGTTCCTGGATGAAGATGCTATGTATGTCCTCACATGGGCATGTCAGGGTGTTCTCGAGTTTGAGATTTTGTGGGGTACAGTGTGTGAGGGGTTGGGTGGAGGGCTTGTCGGTGATGGCGGGTGTGTGCTTCTGCTGGAGGGACATTGCCGGCAGCTGTGTTTTGCTGGGGCTGTGTGTCAAGCATATGTCTACACCCAGTGTGTATAGACAGCAGTGAGATTCAGTGACCACCTGTGGCAGACTGAGTGAAGGATTGTCCTTCGCCCGGTGCCCATGTGTGTGTCTTGGATTAGGGATGCTGTGATCTCTGTGGGGTCTCTGTGATGCTGACTGCGCGCTACGGCACAACAGATCCTGTGTTCCTGTCCCTGGGATCTGCCTCCCTCTCCGGGTCTCCTTGCTCTCTCATGTCGCCATGTGTGCGTGAAGCTCATGGCCCAACTGGGCAGGCGGAGCTCCAGGTGACTGCATCCAGGCCTGCTACCCTTACCGCGTCTCCATTCCTGAGTCCGGGCCCTTGCCCAGCTGTGGGTGCGGGGGAGGTTCCATTCCCTCGAGGTCACAGAGGCCCCCTGGGAAGTCAGCGGCTGGAGATTAGATTTCAGGTGGTCATGGAAGGAAAGCGGGGAGAAGGATCCCGGTCTGGTCTGGAGCAGCGCCAGGCTGAGGCCCGGCGTCTCAGGATCATTACAGGGATAGTCGCAATAGTTCCTATTTTTTTTTCATTGTTTTTCAAGTACAGTTGTCTCCATTATCCCTCCACCGCTCTGGCCCACCCCACCGACCGCCACCTCCCACCCTCAATCCTACCCCCTCTTTGGTTTGTCCAATCATCCCTCATACATGTTCCTTGACGACCCTTCCCCTTCTTCCCCCACCCCGTTATCCCTCTCCCCCAACCCCTCCTTTCTGGTTACTGTCAGTTTTCTCTTTATTTCAATGTCTCTGGTCAATGTCTTATATTTTCTTGCTTGTTTGTTTTGTTCATTAGGTTCTACTTATAGGTGAGACCTGAACCCTGGTTCCTATTTTTTGAGCACCTACCACGTGCCGGGCACTATACTTCATGCTTTATATGCTTATACTTATGCCGTTGTCTTATTCAATATTACATACAAAGTACTTATGTTACATTTGTAAATAACAAGTACGTGGAGTATTCATGTTTATGAATATTTCATTATATTAGTTAGAAAATACTTTCTAATATGAAGTGATTTTATATGATATTCTATTTCTATCATTGTGTTCTGTTATCCCATTGAACGTAGGAGGAAACTGAAGCTCGGAGAGGTGAGTCCACTTGCCCAAATCACACAGCAAGCAAGGTCACTGGGCAAGGTGACAGAGTCAAAATTTGAACCCACTTCCGCGTTTCCAGCCTTTGGCTCCTCATCACCGCATTACCCCGGCCAAAGCGGCAGAGAGCGTCTGAGGGGACAAGTAGGGAGCGGGCGAGCTGAGTGACTAGGTAACAGCTGTGCTGGTGGACATTTGTGGAGCCCTGCTGTGTGCCAGGCACAAAGCTAAGGGCTCTCATAACAATAACGATGGCGCATGGTCCTGGGACACTTGGCGAGGGTCCTGCTGCGAGCGGTCATGCGTGGACTGACCCTTTTACCCCTCACCCCAGCGCTCTGAGGCGGGTGCCGCCTCTGTCTGCATGAGGCCTGGAGGTGGAAGCGCGTTGGAAAGCTCACGGAGGAGCTGGCATCTGGTGTCCCTCGCACCCTCAAACTCTCTATTATCCCTTATCATCTTCACAGCAATCCTATAGCGTAGGAAGAAATAGCACCCATTTGACAGATGAGGAAGCTGAGGCCCAGGCTTGGACTCACCACAGGACCACAGACTTCAACTATACTGTCTGTCTGAGCAGCTCACCCCCTCTTGACCCTGTTCATGACCCCCAGGAGACCAGGAACGCCAAAGAGGCTGTGCGGGGGCCCTTGGCCAGGCTCCCAGATGCCCAGGGCCCTGTCCCACCCTGGCTTTCAGGATTTCAGGCTCCTCCCCTGCCCATCCTGCTCCCCAAGTTTCCTTCGGTTTCTGTCAGTTCTGCCTGCTGTCACTCCTCGTGTGTCACAAGAATTGTCCCATGTGCCCCAGATTGGGTTTTGGCTTGGGTTGTTATTAGATTGCGTTTTGCTATACAAAAGTTTTAAAGTTTTACGCATTTCAATTGATCCTGTTTATTTTTTAGATCAAGATCTCCAACCTCAGGGAAAATCTGGCTCCTAGGAGGGGCAGCACGGGCCGCAGCTGCCTCCTCCCTCCCTCTCCCCCTCCTCTGCTTAGCTTTCTAGGGGTTGGGGGCTTGTGATACCTTCTTGACAGGTTGTCCGCCCTCTGTTTTTACAGCTCTTTCCCGCAGCCTTTGCCCATTGCCATGCAATGGTTTTTAAGTGGGTCGCCAATGGTCCATCTCAAATTTCACAGGTTCTGGTTTGGATCGTGAGTGGGGAGACCTCCCGCTCCTGGGCAGAAGGAGCTCCTCCTCTCTCCCCTCCGGGCCCGCTGCCCACCCCCCTCGGGGCCTCGGCCTCCTTATCTGCAGCTTCCACTTTCCCAAGATCTCGGGACCTGCCCAGCCGGACGGCCCAGGCGCCTCCTCTTCCCCTCCCCCAGCCTCTCCCCCTGTGGAAGGGGGGCGCCCGGAGAGGGGCGCTCCGTTCTTTGCCGAGTTTTAAGAGTTCTTCCGGCCTATACTTACTAACCCCGTGACCCTCTCTGTTGCAAGTCACCGGTCCTCAAGTCCTGTTTATTGACTCCCTTTACGATGCCGTTCGCCACAGAAAATCTAAAGCTGCTTCTTTCATACAAACACGACCATCTTGGATTTCTCGGATGTGGGTTTGCGACCTGGGTTAGGGAGGCCTCCGGCTCCTGGGGCGAGCGGCGCCCCCCGACCCCGCCCCCCGCTTCCCTCCCCTCCCGGAGTCCTAATCTCGCAGCTTCTCCCTTCCCACGGGTCGGGTCGGAGCATAAAAGCCAGCAGGGGACGCGCCCCGCAGTGTCACCATGTCCCCGCTGGGCCCACTGCTGCTGGTCCTCGCCCTGGTGGCCGTCCCCCGGCGTCCGAGGCGCCTGCCCAGTGGCTGCCGACCTCAAGAACCCCGATGGGACGCGGACGTGCGCCAAGCTCTACGACAAGAGCGACCCTTACTACGAGAACTGCTGCGGAGGCGCCGAGCTGGCCATAGAGCCGGGCACCGACCTGCCCTTCCTGCCTTCGGACTGGAGGAACGTCGTCTCCTCACTCGTGGTGGCCCCGCGCTGCGAGCTCACCGTGTGGTCCCGCCGCGGCAAGGGCGGCAAGTCTCACAGGTTCACCGCTGGCGCCTACCCGCGCCTTGAAGAGTACCGCCGGGGCATCTTCGGCCACTGGTCCAACGCCATCTCCTCCATCTACTGCAGGTGCGGCCCTGCCCGCGCCCGGTGCGCACCTCCGCGCCCGCAGCTCCGGACCCAGCACCCAGGCCATGCCCCACCACCGCGGCTCGGCTCGGCTCGCGGCCTTGTCCAGACGCCTGAGGCCCTGACCCAAACTGGGAGTCCCTAGACCCAGTCGTGCATGGCCCCCTTCTCGCTCGCACGCCCTCCCCGAAGCCCATGCCTTTTGGATCTCTCAGACCCTGTCCTGGAGTTCCCAGGCTCAGAAGCTGACCCAACGCCCCCTCTGATCTTCCTGAACCCCCACCTGCCTTCCCACCACACCTGCACTCTCCAGGGAAGGCCACTCTCTCTGGGGCGGCCAAACCTAGCTTGGGAATGGGGAGTTGCCAACCCCCTCACCTTGGCCCCCTCTCCGCCCCCCCCCACCCCGACCAAATCCAGTCCTCTCCCCCGAATCATCAGGTCCCAGAGCTTCCTGGGGTCTCCCAGACTCAGTGTCTGACCCAGACCTCAGGACCCCAGACCCAATGCTAGGAGCACCTTACCTAGCCCTTATGCTCCCCACCCATCTAGACCCTCTAGGACAGCTTCAACCACAGGCGCCAGTGCCAGAGCGCCTGATAAGGCTCTGGAACCCAGACCCAGTTTGGAGGCCCCCCAAGCCCACCCCGCACTCGTATATCCAAACTCCCAGGCTCTGGGACCCTTATTCTAGCCATAGCACCCTCCAGAACCACCCGCCTGCCCCACCACCCCAAGAGCTCCAGGAGCTCCCAGCCCCTGCTTCCCAGGCCAGGACACCGAGCTCTTGGAGTCGGAGCCCAGCCCCAGCTGCCCACCTCTTGTCAGGCCTCCAGAACTCCCCACGCCCTGGATCTCGGAGGCCCTGGCACTCCCTGAAGATATTTTTTGTATTCTGTTGCAGGTGTTACTGAAGCCTTAGAAGTTCCTCATCTCCAGCCCCCACAGAGCGCTGAGCCCTTCACCTGGCCTTGTTGCTGGGGCCCGCTGAAGGTCCCAAGCCCCAAACGGACAGAGCTTCCTGCCTGCTCCCGGACCCTGCCTTCCCTGCAATACAGCCCTTATGAAGTTGTCCCTGTCTGCCATCTGCTTGTGCTTGGGACCCGAGCCCACACAGGACGGGGGTGGGATGGGAGGCAGCAGGGTGGTCATGCCAGGATCAGCCCATACCTGCAACAATGCTGTGGGTGGGGGTGCACCCAGAGAGTCCCACATGGATTTAGGTGCGCACGAAGACACAGCCACAGGACACATGTACGCACGCAGCAGTACCGCCGGCCGAGGGTTAAACACTGATATGCTTCCCACTCTATTGGTAGACACCCCTTCCCTGAGTGCCCCCCCAGCTGTCTGGCCTGTCAGGGACCTCCAGACTCAGCATTCATGTGTGAGAAGGAAGGCAGCAGGCAGCCTTCAAGGGCCTGCCCCAGGCGAGGGCCAGGGTCTGTTGTGGGGTCTGGCCAGAGCCTAGGACTTACGGGTTGTTAAATATGTTCAACCCTCCTCTCCCTAACACACGGAGGACACTTTAGTTCAAATTTCCGTATTTTCTGCAAATTTGAGTTTGCAACCTATTCCCACCTCCACCCCCAGGGATAAGGGTGCTTGATGAGTACCTGGGTCTGGGGGCCCTTAAGAGAAACTAAAGGAAAGAACTGAAATCTTGGGGTAAGGAAAGGTATGGGGACAGCTCTGGGGGATGACAACTTGGGTTTGGACGGAGAAGGGAAATACAGGGAGATTCTGAGAGTTAAGAAATACGGGGAAAGCGGTAGGTGGAGAGGCTAAGAGCCCATAAATTGGGGATATGTGACAAGATCAGAGGTGAAGGCAGGTGCAGAAGGGAGAGGAGTTGTGAGGTGCTGGAGGATCACGGATTGGAGGATGTGGGAGTGGGAAAGGAACTCCGTGAAGTTCTAAGGAGCAAAGATTGGGGACATACTCAGCACCCTTGGGCACGTGTATTTATTCATTTAGTCACCAAGGACTTATTGGGCACCTGCTGTCTGTCAAGCACCGACTCAGGAAGAAGGGGCCCTGCCCTCATGGAGCCCAGAGAGTGCAGGGGAAATGCCAAAGAGCCAGACATTCAGGGATGCGGGGAGAGGAGGGATGAGAAGCCAAAGACCCGGCAGTAGCCAGGAGCCTAGGGAGCGGTAAGTGGTCAGGGGGGAAGCGCAGAGTCCCGAAGGTGTTAAGGGATCAGCATCAGGGCGGTGCTAAGAGAACAGGGCGATGCTACAGCGGCAGGGAGGTGTCATGGGGTAGATGGATGAGACAAGGGGGCAGAGCGGGCCCAGAACCAGCCGGTCACTCCCTGAACTGCACAGACACGGAGGAGTCAGTCACCCTTGTCCGCCGCAGCCCACCAGGCTCCAGCCGGTTCTTTGTCTTGTGCAGGAAATGGACAAAGCGCACACCAGGGCCGTACTGGCGGAACACGTGCGACACCTGTGGCAGCACCGGGGTCGGAAAGAAGTCCTCATTAGCGACCCACAAGCCCTGCTCTCCTCCCGCCTCCCTCCGTGAGGCCTTGGGACACGAGTGGGTGGCACCTGGGGCAGGGCGTCTCACCTGGACCCAGCAGCCAGGAGGGCCCCTCCCAGAGGTCCGGGGGGCCACATGGTGCTGCGCAATGGTGGTGTGGCGGTCAGCTGCCAGCAGCCAGACGTGCAGCTCGTAGACACACACGTCCAGCCGGCTGTCCTCATACCTGGGGGTGGGGTCCAGGCCTTCAGCTGCCACCGCAGCCCCGACACCCCGACCCCCACCTCTGGCCCCAGTCGTCATTTAACACACACTCACTGGCACCCGCTGTGCGCACCGAGGCTGGGTGGTGCTGGCAGCGCAGCAGTGACCAAGGCAGCCCCACGCCCCTGCCCCCGTGGGATTCACAGCTCAGTGGGGGCGGCCGACCAGACCCGTCACCAGGCAGCGACAAGCAAGAATGACCAGGGCCAGGACGGGCCGGCCAGGGGAGGCTTCCTGGTGGCGCCGTGTTAAACTGACTCCTCAAGGATAAGGAGGAATTTGCCTTGAGAAAGATAAGCGTCTACGGAGGAAGGCACAGCCTTGGGCCTGGCACATTTCAAGAACTGAAAGTGTCAGAGAGAAGGGGCCGTGGGCAGGGCTGGATCCTGAAGGGGCAGAAGGGTTCTGGTGGGGGGCTCGGCCAGAGGGCGCGAGGGGGCGAGGCTTGCACTGCGGGAGCCCCCGGGTGCAACCCGGCAGCGCAGGGGCACGTACCAGTCCATGACCGTGATGTCCGGCTGCTCGTCGTCGAGCAGCTCCTCCCACAGCCCCTCGGCCAGCAGATCCACACACTGCTGCTTCACCGTCCAGCTGTGAGAGGGGGCACAGGGAGGCCGGCTCTGGGGCCCGCTGGCACTCTTGGGCCCAGCTGGGCCTGACCCCAGGGAGCAGGAAACCCTGATCATCGCACCCTCATATTGAGGGTGCTCGTGTGTGGGCGCTGAGTGCTCACTCGGCCCCTTACAGCCTCACTTCCCATCATTTCCTCAGTGGGTGATGCGCTCTGAACCCTATGTTAGAGACGGGGAAACCGAGGCTCAAGAAGGGACATGACTTGCCCAGGGTCAAGCAGCAAAGAAGTGCAGAGCCGGCATCCCAACCCTGGGCATCTGTGAGCCCCTCAGTTACACCTTCTCGCCCAACGTCCAGAAGCAGGGCTCGGTTTCACGTGGAGAGATGGAGGCCTGGGGGGCTCTCCCCCTCCCAGCAAAAGAGGCTCAGCAGAGGAGCAATAATAGCTGCTACTTATTGAACACCTACTACGCGTAAGGCAGACCTGGCCAGAGCCTGTGTTGTGAGTTTTACGAGAGTTTTCTCTGGTGACTGCCTGTGTTCACAGAGCAAGAAACTGAGGCCCAGAGAGGCAAAATCATTTTCTCCAGGCCCCACAGCAAGGAAGGCTGGAGGAGGCAGTGAAGCGCAGGCCACCGGCTCCTGGCCACTCACCTGCAGTTACGCTGGACCTTCTCAGTCCTAATGTGCCACCCGCGGAAGTTGCCTGCCACGTGGAGGAGCGAAGGGTTAGAACGTGCCTGGTCTGCAGACCGGGCCCTCCCCCGGGGCCCAGCCACCAGGCACTCACCCAGAGTCTCCAGGGGCTGCTGTGTGGGCCCAGTAGGGGGGTGCTGGCTCATAAATGTTGATGCCTGAAATGAGTAGTGAGAGAGCCTCAGGCCTGCTGAGGCTGTCCCTCCCCACTCTCCTCCAGGGCCCCCTGCCCCAGGGCTGCTCTGGAAGGGCAGGAAGTTGTGCCCCACCCACCAGGCCAGACCAGCCTGGCAGGGAGGGAGTGAGTCAGGGCCCAGGGAGAGCGCTGAGGATGTGCTGAGGGAGAGGGACGATGTGCCTTGCGGTGAGACAGACAGAGGGACAGAGAGGCACCAAGAAAAAAGACTTAGAATATAGGCAGAGGGAGGGAAGGAGAGAAAGAGCAGGAGGGGAGGACTGACTGAGGGTGAAAAAGAGACTCAGGGAAAGAGAGACAGATGCAAGGTGGGGACAGAGAGCCTCAGGGAGAGAGAGGCACAGATGACAGTTTGAGACAAAGAAACAGAAAAAGAGATAAAGAGGCAAGGAAACAGATGGAAAGAAGACAGGTCAAGGCGTCTGGGTAAGCCACACTAGGGAAAGAAAATAGAGCCAGTGGAAGCCCACCTGCTCCAGCTATGGCCCAATCGCCTCACACCGTTCCGCACCTTCAGAGTAGGGGAACTGCAGTAGGTTCCGTTAGAGTAAATGACTCCTGAAGAGTGGCAACAACGTGTCTGTGTAAGTGTGCATATGGAGAGATGCAAGATCTGGCACATGCATGTTGACGGAGCTGGGCTCTTGTCTTGCATGTCTTTGGCAGGGAGAAATCATGCTGTAGCAGAAGATTCAGGACCACGGAAAATGACCCCACTGAACCCCTGACCCCCATCCCTGAAGCTAGCAAACCCTCCTCAGGTGTCAGGATTTGGGATTCCTCTGGGCACCTGGAAACCCGGGACCCCAGCAAACACACTCACTCACACAGCATCGTGCACTCTTAGAGTACTGAGTACGATGTGGAGGGAAAGAGCTGTGTCTTTTGTGGCCAAATTGTATTTCCCACTGATGATCACAGCCAGACCGCCATCTCACATGCCCTGCTGCCTTGGGACGCTGGCACGCCACCACCAAGTGTAAGTTTTGGCCCCGGCTGGTGTGGCTCAGTGGATTGAGTGCCGGCTCAGCAGATTGAGTGGTGAACCAAAGGGTCACCAGTCCAATTCCCAGTCAGGGCACATGCCTGGGTTGCGGGCCGGGTCCCCAGTGCAGGCCACGTGAGAGTCAACCACACACCGATGTTTCTCTCTCCCCCTCCCTCCCTTCCCCTCTCTCTAAGAATAAATAAGATCTTACTTTAAAAAAGTAAGTTTTATTTTCCCCAGCCCCTCAAATCTGGGCAGGGCCAAAGCTGCTTGGACCAATAAACAGAATACAGTGTCGTTTCTGGGCATAGGCCTTAACAAGCCTTCAGATTGCACTTCCTGTCCTTAAACGCTACTCTCAAGGACTCCAGCCCCCATGTAAAAAGTTCAGCCACAGCTGTGAAAAGCCCGAGTCACGTGGAGAAGCCACTTGTGGATGCTCGGGTCACCGCCCGCGGCTGGACTCCCAAGAAATTCACAAGAAATATGTGAAGTTACTTTTACATATACCTTATTTGATCCAATATATCCAAAATACTATCACAACAGATAATCAGCATAAAGGTATTAATGAGATTTTACTTTTTACAGTAAAAGTAAAAATTCTGTACGTACATCCATCTATTTCCTAGCTTTGTCCATTGAGAGGGAGTAGGAAGCAACAATATCCCTGTCACACTCAGCCTACGTAGCATTCAGACCTTGCTTTCTTAATACTGTTCTCCACTTAAAGGAACCAGAACTACTTGGAGAAATGGCTGGTTACAGAGATGAGGCGGGTAAAATACAAGATGAGTCTGGAACATCTTATTCCAGAAAGCAAGGAGCTGCACAAAGAATGATGGGGACACATCGAAAGGGCAGAGGAGCCATCTCGAAAGGGTTGCCATTGGCCTAACCATGGACAATTTGAGCATTAACAGAATTGTAGCAAAGAATTATGATCCACTGAATAAGATAGATGAGAATTCAGCATTCCATGCTGTTATGAATCGATTGGTAAATACACAAAGGAGGGAGGGGAGCAGAGCTCTTCCTAACCGTACAATGCCATGGATGACACCGCCCGGGAGTGCTCTTAGCTCCTTGCTCAGGTGGGGACAGTCCGAGCAGCCAGGCCCCCGACAGCTCCAGGCCACAGAAGGTGGTCATTGTGATTGTGGGGTTGCTTGTGGTCATGCTACACCGGCTTGGTCTTTCCTGTCACCCGCCAGTCCAGCTCGTCAGCTTCCTCCAGCGCCTCTTCTCTCTCTCTGCCAGAATCTTCAAATGAGATTAACAGAAACACTTTATGAAGACAGAGCCAAAGTAGGTATGTTACATTCATTTGTTAAAATGACAAACAGAGAGGACGGTTCATGGAGGACTGCCCCAGCATTCTGAATGCATGCCTGCTGCCCTTCTCTGGCTAGTGCCAGCCTGAGCGCCCAGCGTCTCTTCGTATGCACCATCCCGATGTGAGCAAGGTCCTGGGCTCTGCTCTAGACTAGAAGGAGACAAGTTGGCACCAGGGGACCAAAGCTAGTGACCAACTGTGTAAAGCCCTGAGGCAAGAATAGGACAGCCTTTCCTGGGGACCCTTTGGCCCTGGGAGATAACTATGAACAACTGTGGCATGACGGAAGGACCTGCCGATGTCTCCAATACCAGTGGTCACAGAGCTGAGACCAGGTTGGGTTCTCTCGACCCCTGCAGCTGCTGCCATTGGGAATTTGCAGCCCACGGCAAACTGGATTCAGTCAACGACCACTTGAGCGGGCTTGGAAGCACATTCACCTGCAATGAGCCTAAGACCTTTTCAGCCTCGGCGAACGCCTCCATTGCAGCCTGTGAGACACAGTCAGAGGATGCAGGTAAACCACGCTCGGATTCCCACGCCGCAGAAGCTGTGACATGATGTTGTTTGTTTAAACGCTACAGATTATAACACTTTGTCGTGAAGCAATTGCTAACTAATACAAAGAATATACGAGCGGAAAAAAAGACTAGAGTGTCAATGAATAAATGTAAAAAGAATGATGAAATTTTCTGATAACTGACAAACACCATCAATGCATGCTAAAATGATTGGATCAAAGTTTGAGAAGTAACAGGTATTTGCATAGTCTCAAAGACTCTCCAGGTACTTATTTCGAAGAGAAAAAGAGTAATATTACAGTGGAGACACTTTGCAGGCACCATCCAAAGGAAAATTGTTTAATACCTTTTTTCCAGCTCTAGGGTGTATTTCACATTTTGAAGCGCAGATCAACTTGCACCAGCCTCATTTCAAGTGCTCAGCTATATGTGGCATGTGGACCATATGAAACAACGCAGTTTTAAATGCACCTTGCTGTCTAGGCTTCCCATGACATACAACAATAAATGTTATTACCAAGGCATGTTTACTTCATGTTAGTCTTATAGCAGAACGCATCTAGGCGATCCATTCACATACCCTCGAAGGGAGCAGACACGGACACAGTCACACACGTGTTGGGGTAGGACGAATCATGGCCCCGAGATGCCCAACCCAATCCCAGGAACCTGTGACTATCCTACGTGACGTGGCAAAGGGACTTTGTAGATGTAACTAAGATGTATAGATGCTAAAATAGGGAGATTGTCCTGGATTATCCCAGTGGGCCTAATCCAAGCACATGAGTCCTGAAAAGCAGCGGGCTTCCTCCAGCTGGAGGCAGAAGAGGAAGGTGGCAGGAGAAGAAGGCAGAGGGGTTCCTAGCACGAGAAGGCGTTGACACACTGCTGCCGGCTTTGAGATGTAGGGTCCACGTGCAAGGACCAGAGAGAGGCTGGCAGAGCTGAGAAGGGGCCGCACGTCCGGCGGGAGAAAGGGACGTCAGGGTTACGAGTGCACGGAACAGGATTCTGCCAATAGCCGGCCTGAGCTGGAGGTGCACCCTCTCTAGGCGTCGCTGGAGGAACCCCACTGGCCACACCTGGATTTCAGTCCCGCGAGGCTCGTATCAGAGAGGCGGGCTAGCGTACCCAGAGCTCTGACTCAGGAAGCTGTGGGACAATAAAACTGGGTTGTTGTTTTCATTTCGTTTTTGTTTGTTTGTTTGTTTGTTTAAAAAAGCACCCTTCTTTATTGTTATATTCCATTTTTTAAGGTTTTATTTATGTATTTTTGGAGAGGGTGAAGGGAGGGAGAAAGAGAGGGCGAGACACATCAATGTGTGGTCGCCTCTCGCACACCACCTGCTGGGGACTGGGCCCAGAACCCGGCATGTGCCCTGACTGGGAATCAAACCGGCGACCCTTGGGTTCGCAGGCCGGCGTTCAGTCCACCGAGCCAAACCAGCCAGGGTGACTTAGGCTGTTTTAACGGGCTAAGTTTGGGGTACCTTCTTATGGGAGCAAGAGGAAACTAGTCCTTGCACACACATGCACAGTTCATAGCACAGAAAACATCTTTTTCTTATCATTTATTAGAAAAATTCTTACAAAAAGTAGAAAAATAAACAATTTATTGGCCATGAGTTTGACGATTCACACAGATAAATACATAAATAGAGGGTGGCTGGCAATATATCCAAAAAAAGGGGCACGTGCATAAATAAAATCTAATGATCGGGCAGGTTGCGGGTGGGCGTCGGGCTCAGACACACAGGTCTCCCCTGGAGACACATCGCAGGTCACGGGTGAGGAGGCGGAAGAGGTTGAATGTGACAGAGGCTTCGAGGCAGCCAGCGGACTCCTGGGGGGAAGGCGGGACAGGTCGGTGGCTGCCCGCCATGCGGGCTCCCAGCTGACCCCAGACGCTGGTCACTCCCTGGTCACTCACCTTCTCCGGAGCCTCCTGGAGGCGGCGCAGCCAGTGGCGGAGGAGGCCCCGGGGCCGGGGGCCTGCTGGGGCCTGAGCTGGGGCCTGCGGGCAGAGGAGGGCGGTGTGTGAGGCAGGGCCTGGGACAGAGGGGGACAGAGGGGGGCACACAGGGGGTCCGCGCCCGCAGACACGGCCTGGGAGCCCAGAGCACTCACGCAGGCCTGAAGCTTGGCGTGGATGTGGCGCAGCGTGTGAAGGGGCTGGTCCAGGATGTCCCCCAGCGTCGAGTTAGCCATGGGCCCCAGGGCCTTCAGGGTCAGGGCCAGCTCAGCCTCCAAGGCCACGGGGCGCTCCCACACCTGAGGACGGGAGACAGACAGGTGCGGGCTGCACGTGAGGGAGGAACAGGTGAGGAGGACGGAGGAAGCAACAGTACAGGTAAAAGGTCAGGGCAGGGGAGGTGAGAAAGCCAATGTGGGTATGTGAGAAGAAGAGGTTGGGGGGGCGGCTGGGCAGGAGGGCAAGGAGATGGGGACACGTGGGAGGAAGAGGTGAAGACCCAAGGAGCCAGAGGAGCAGAGCCCTCTGGGGAGGGCGGGGCTCGGCCTGACTCTCCCAACTCACCTGCAGCTGCCTCAGGTCCCGGGTCCTGGGGAATGGGCGGGAGCGGCAGCTGCGGTTCTTCAGCAAGAGCGACTCCTCCTGGAGAGCAAAGACACAGGTCAGCCCACGGCTGCAGGGCTGAGGTTAGACCCCTGCCGTGGGACAGGCAGACTGACGACGGGACGGAGGGCGGTTAACTTCCAGAAGGATGGTGGAGGCATCTCCACCGCGGAAGAACACGAGTCAGCCCAGCGCAGCAAGAGCAGGAGTCTGCCCACTCTGCAAAAGTGGAGGCTCGCCCAGGGAAGGGGCGGCACCGGCCCGCCCCGAGCCAAATGGAGCGTGGTAGCCCACAGAGGCAGGGCGGCGGTGAGCCCACAGCAGGTGGGGCAGTGGGGAGGCTCACCAACGCGTCCTTGGCCCTCCTGAAGGCCTTCATGTCTTGCGGGGACAGCGACGTGAACGGGGCCATGG